AGTCCACAGGCAAGCAGCATCTTCTGCTGGCAGGCTGCCCAGTGCCCATCTGCAACCACTGACCTCGGGTGCTTGCAGAATGCAAACAGGGAACTTTCAAGGACACAGGTCTTAGCATTATCCTTAAAGAGAAGGTTTATTGTGAGAAAGGTGAGCTCGCCTGGAGACGCAGAGCATGCTGGGAGTGAGTCGCACGCCTGCACCCGAAGGGCCTGAAGAGGCGTTCCACCTCGACCAGGACCCCCCCCCCAGGCAGGCAGGCAGGCAGGGAGGCAGCCGGGCCCCTGCCCAGGATCTTTATGGTGCTCCGGACGTTCCTTCCAGGTAGGCAGTGGTGAGGGACGCCTGCCGGCTGCCTCTTCTCTTGGCCCTTCTGCCGCAGCACGCCCCCTGCAGTCGACAGCCAGCATCTTTGCCCAGCTGCTGCAGATCCCTCCGGAAGCGCACGCCCAGGAAAGCGTGGAAGACGGGGTTCAGGCAGCAGCGAGCCAAGGCCAGGCCACTGGTGATGAGCAGGGCCAGGTCCCGCCGGAGGACGGCCGGGCAATTCGAGGACCGGCGGCCCAGCAGATCAGCCGTGTCCAGGACCGTCAGCAGAGCGTGGGGCAGCTGCAAGACAACGAAGAGCAAGACCAGAGCCAAGATCAGCTGCAGGGCCTTCTGGGACTGGGCGCAAGGGGAGGACAGGAGGGTGCGGGCGATGGCGGCATAGCAGGCCCCCATGAGCACCAAGGGCAGCACGAAGCCAAGGCCCACCTGGGCCAGGCTCACCGCAGCCGTCACCACGGCCACCCGGCAGAGTGGGAAGCCACCATGGTCCTCCACCCGGGCGTACAGGAACTGGGGCAGGGCGAGAGCCGCCGAGAGCAGCCACACCAGCCCTGCGCTCGGCCCGGCCCAGCGAGCAGCCACGGGGCGCAGGCGGTGGGCAGTGGGGGCCTGCGCGATAGCCACGTAGCGATCCACGGTGAGGCCCATGAGGAACAGGAAGCCGCTGTAGGAGGTGAGGGCGTGGAGGCCCTGCAGGGCCTGGCAGGGGGCGGAGCCCAGGGGCCAGCTGCCCACCATCCCCGCCACGCCCACGGGGAGAGTCAGGAGCAGCAGCAGATCGGAGGCCGCCAGGTGCAAGAGGAGGGTGTCGCCCAGGGACCGGCCGCGGCGGTAGCAGGCCTGGATCAGCAAGAGCATCCCGTTGCCCGGGACGCCCAGCAGGCAGAACAGGACGGCCATCGCCGGCAGGTAGACGCGTGCCACGGCACGGACGGCCTCCTTTTCACACAGCTCGGGCAGCGCTGGGGTCTCGGCATCGTAGTCCCACGAGTACCACTCTGTGCTGATGGGCAGTTCGTCTGTCCAGGGACTCAGCTCCTGAGGGATGAGTGCAGGCATTCGTTACCAGGGAGATCTGGAGTGGAATTTAGCACAAAAGGAAGGCAGGGGAAGGGAGTGGGCACTGCGGCCGTGTCTGCCCAGGGTGTCGGTCTCCTCCGCATTGACCAAGAGTCCAGACCTCAAAGTGGGTCATGCCGGGGGTGGGTGGGGAGGAGGAACCAGAGGAGCTGCGAGGGGACTTGGTGGCAAATCATGCACAAAATGGCCATGAAATACCATCTGTTGTTCAACAAGGTTTGAGTCTGGGGGCACCTTTAAGACCAGCAAAGTTTCATTCGGGGCGTGGGCTTTCGCGTGCAAGGCACACTTCCTCAGACACACCGAAGTGGAGGTCATCAGTCCGTACTCCTCTAGTGCAGACCGACACGGCGACCCTCCAGAACTAGCCGTTAACACCCTTTAAAACGTAAAGGCTCAAAGGAGGGATGTAAAGCTTTAAAGCGCAATGCAATCAACATGCCCTGAGCTGGGTGGCCCAGGCTAACCCGATCTCACCTGGTCTCGCCAGCTCTCAGAAACTTGGATGGGAGACCACCCTGCAGGCAACGGCAATATTTATAAATATTAAACATGAAAAATAAATGATAAACTCGTTAAGTGTTCTGTGATTTCTGTGTTTTGTACTGGGCAGGGCTATTTTTGGGCAGGAACGCACAGGAACGGAGTTCCGGCTGGCTCCCGAGTTGGCCACACCCAGCAGGAACTCATTAGCATAACAGGCCACACCCAACAGCAGGAACCCATTAGGATTGGCTACATTAGGGGTGTGTGGCCTAACATGCAAAGGAGTTCCTGCTACAAGAAAAGGCCCTGGGTTTTGACCACAGACAAGGTAAACAGAATAAGAAGCAAAGGGTGGGTGTGGCTGGATAACCACACTTTTGGTAACATGGGGGTGCGGCCTAATAGGCTAATGAGCTGTACTATCAGGGGTGTGGCCTAATAGGCTAATGAGTTCCTGCTGTTGGGTGTGGCCTATTATGCTATTAAGTTCCTGCTGGGCTTTTTCTACAAAAAAAGCCCTGGTACTGGGGATGGAGAAAGTGATGTGGAGTTACTTTGTAAGGGGCTCCAGAAAGCTATAGCAAGTTAGATGTGAGCCCACCCCCCCTTCAAAAACGGTGAAAATCACTGACTGACCGGGGTGGGCGGGGGGTGGTTCCAATCCCAGATCCCAGGAGCGCCCCCCTTAAATAGTTCATAGATATATGGAGCAAAAGCAAGGGAAGAAAGCCTCACCTAGAAATAGGTCTTCATTGGGGTTTGGAGTCATTTGGATTCAGGACCTGAACTCAGCCTCCAAGCCTACGGCTCAGCCCTGGACTACATGGAGAAGAGGTTGAAAGCCCACAAGCATGTGCAGAGTGCCTTCCCCTCCCTCCCACACCCCTCACTCGCTACACAGGGTTTGCAGATTACATGAGGCAAGCCTCAGTTTACCTCTGTGCTGTATATTATACAGCACCTGAACAGATAAACTGGATGCTTCTTCAGTAAGCAGTGGCTTGTTCATTTGGAGTCAGATATGGGTTGAGGGTTCCCACCCTTCATGGCTTCTAACTGCTTTTTCCAAAATAAATTTGGAAATGCTGTGAGTGTGAGACAGCTCCCAAAGAATATGGGGGGGAATACTCTAATCTCCCCCCCCCACTCTTCCGAGGCTGACTCCGGAGCACCCCCTTCCCACTCTTGGCAGCAAACCGAGTCCCACGTACCTGAACCTGAGGGCTTTGGTCATTCATAGCGAGTCAAGAAATAGCACGTTCGCTGGGTCTTCATGAGCTGACGGCTGTTGTTGTGGTTGGTTGTGAAAGGACACATCCTCTAGAAGCTGAGAGAAACACACCAAGAATAAACACCCCCTTAACCTCAGCTGAAACAGAGATCACATCTGAACATAACTGGTCAGATTCAGGATAGTGGTAGCGGACCACATGGTGTCAAAAAAGAGTCAGGGGTCTGCAAGCCATCTGAGTGGATGAAAGGGATCTGTTCACCTACGCAGCGCACAGGTGCAAGAAGAAGGGGGTGGGGTCCCACCTCCCTTAGTGATTCTGCATGTGGCGGGTTGTCCAGATTCCTGAGTATCAGGGGTCATTTCATAGAAAAAGAGGTGCAGGAGCTCATTAGCATGACTCATTAGCATAACTTATTTGCATAGGCCACACCCCCTGACATCACCGGAAGTGTATCAGAAGGCAACACCCACCACTCAAGCTCCACTGGATTGTGGTGTTGGGGTGGGGGGGGGGGGGGGAATGTGCAGATCTGTCCTCACAGAGGAGGAAGAGCTTGTACCTGATTAAACCTTGGCCTTACAGGTGCCACTGGACTGTTTTGGATGGGGGGGGCTGGGGGGGGCTCTGCAGCTTACCTGGCTGCTTCTTGCTCTGACTGAGGGCTGCTGGGAGCAGGGGGTGGGGCTTGTTGCATGTGCCCGCCCCCTGGGCTCTTTACTGCCGGAGCTCCGCTCCCGTGCGCTCCTGCAGGAAAAGACCCCTGCTGAGTACAGAAGACAGACCCCACCCATAGGCCTCTCTCTTCCCAGTGGATGTCTGGTGTCAATGAGGGAGGCATTGCCGTGGTCCCCACCCCACCCCCCACCTCCAGCAGCTGCTGACTTCCGAGAGACTGAAACTTCCAGGCCAGCTCTGCTGTACAGGCCCCACCCCTTGCTCCCAGGGCCCCAGGAGCTTGCTGGGGCTGAAGAATGTCTGGGCCACACACTGAAATCCTTCTGCCTGATCTAAGACGAGCAATGGTCAGTGCCGAGGGAGAGGCACTCAGCCAATGTTCCCTCTAAGCTGTGAGGTCCTGTGAGCAAAAATGCTACTTTGTGAGCTACTGGCATTAAAGTTGTGAGCGGGCGATTTGGCTACTGCATAAATTAGTTTGCTCTAGAGCCATCCTTCCTGAGCTAAGGCAAAAATGTGCAAGCCGGAGGCTGAAAAACTGTGAGCTGGCTCACACTAACTCAGCTTAGAGTGAACACTGCACTCGGCACATCCTCAGAGGCCTGTTTGTTTTAATGATGAACTCCTCCATTCCACAACTACACTCTTACTCCAAAACAAATGAATAAATACAGAACAGATGTGATTTAATTCCAAGACTACTGTCTCTTGCTTAGATTAGGGCTTTGTGACTTTCCCAGTACCCCGGCACAAAACACTCCCATAATCTCTTTATTAGCGGGCAGATGAAAGGACGGGGGTGGGGGGAGCCCCCCCCCCGTTTCTCTTCCTGCCAGATGAAAAAAAAAAATCTGTTTGGGATTGTAAAGAGGCTTTTGGACATTAGGGGTTATAATTCCTGTAGCCCCCCCCCCAGTTTCCTGGCCCCCAAATAGCTCGTCCCAGTTTGGCTCTTCTAGTGGGAGACATAACCATCTTGTGAACAAGGAGGCTGGCACCCCCAGCGGTGTGGAAGCAGCCCCCCCCCCCGCCTTCTATCCCTCTCCGTGCCTGCGGCTGCAGCTAGTAGGATGAAAGGAAGAACAAAATGTGAGTCCAGTCGGGCACCTTTAAGACCAACAAAGTTTCATTCTGGGCATAAGCTTTCGAGTGCAGGCACACAAAGGCTTATTGTTGTTGTTGTTCAGTCGCACAGTCGAGTCCGACTCTTCGCGACCCCATGGGCCAGATCACGCCAGGCCTTCCGGTCTTCCGCCGTCCTCTGAAGTTGGCTCAATTTCGTGTTCGTTGCATCTGTGACACTGTCTAGCCATCTCATCCTTTGCCGTCCCCGTCTTCTTTGACCTTCAATCTTTCCCAGCATCAGGGTCTTCTTCTCCAGTGAGTGCTCCCTTCTCATTGGGTAGCCAAAGTATTTGAGCTTCAGTTTCATTATCTGGCCTTCCAGGGAACAGTCAGGGTTGATTTCTTTTAGGATTGACTGATTTGATCTTCTTGCAGTCCAAGGGACTCTCAAGAGTCTTCTCCAGCACCATAGTTCAAAATAATCTATTCTTCGGCGCCTGGCCTTCCTTATAGTCCAACTCTCGCAGCCAGACATGACTACTGGGAATACCATTGCTTTGACCATGCGGACTTTTGTTGGCAGGGAGATGTCTCTACTTTTTATCATGCTGTTTCGGTTCGCCATCGCTTTCCTCCCCAGGAGCAGGCGTCTTTTCATACAGGTGCCTGACTGGACTCGGACTTTGTTCTGTTGATCCAGACCAACACAGCTACCCACCTGAATCTATCTTCAAGGATAAAAGACAAACACTCCGTTTGTGCGTACAGCTCTCTGGAGGAGAGGCAGCCGTCTCTGAGTCTTCTCAAGTAATTGGAGCTTCTAGGACATGATGAACGTTCCAGAGGGTGGCTGTGTCCATCTGTTGCCGCAAAGTGAGACAGGAACCCAGCGGCACCTGAGAAATGAACAGACTGTACTCCAGAAGCTTTCTTGAGTCACAGCCTGCTTCATCAGATGCATGAAGGGTGCATTTGCTACATCAGTCCATTTATATACACAATAGATAAGGGAGGGCGTTACAAACACAGGTTTGTTTACAAAATCCCAGGGGTCATTTCGTAGAAAAAGAGTGGCAGGAGCTGATTAGCATAACTCATTAGCATATCTGTTGGGTGATAGTGAGATATTGAACAAATGGTATTTAGCAGAGATAAGATAGTCCAGCAGAGCCAGAGTAAAACAATTCAGACTCAGAATCCATGTGTGATTAAAATATAAAGTTTTTACTAAATTCAAGCTTGGGAAGGGTAACTGGGATGAAAATAACAACAGAGCATAATCGGCTACATCCTTACTCTACAAAGACAAAACTAGAAGAGGAGAGATTATGGCTGCTCTCCTTCTTCTTCAGAACACCAAACAAAGACGGGAAGAGAAGCCATAAAAGTCATTTCGTAGAAAAAGAGGTGCAGGAGCTCATTAGCATAACTCAGTAGCATAACTTATTTGCATATGCCACACACCCCTGACATCACCGTAAGTGTGTCAGAAGGCAACACCCACTGCCCAGGCTTCACTGGACTGTGTTGGATTGCTAGCTATTGGGGGGGGGGAACGCACAGATCCTCATGCTCCTCATGGCCTGGGGCTGCTGGGAGCAGGGGGCGGGACTTGTTGCATGTGCCCGCCCCCTGGGCTCTTTACTGCCGGAGCTCCGCTCCTGTGTGCTCCTGCAGGAAATGACGCCTGCAAAATCCTACTCTGCCTATTTGACAACAGTCTGGGTGAACTGATGATTCCGTTTCACTTTAAAGAGGCCTGTCATTCTAACACTTCCCCCCCCCCTGCACGCGCTTTCTGTTGTGTATATAAATGGGTCACCCCAGTGGATTAACGATTCCTGACTTGAGCTCTGACTCACAAAAGCTTTGGCTGAAATACGTTCTGCCCGTTCTCTTCCACAACAGGCATTTGGTCCAGCTTTGCTGCTGACAGGAAGTGGGCATTTTCCTTCTTCCACACAGCACCCTCTGGCTTTATCCTGCAATGCATCCTAAACCTGCTCCACTAGGATCACAAAGGCTGCCATGTGGATCTTTCCTGGTCCCCCACTGGCTCTGCTTTCCCTGCCCCCGTCTCCTCCAGGGGCCATTCCCCCCCCCCCACTATTGGAGAGCTTTGGGGATTTTTAGAAGAATCAGTAATTGACAAATTGCTATAGTGTTATAACATAATAAGCTACTAGTCGACCAACTCTTCAGAAGTCCCAGCTTTTATTTTAAAAAAACAACCACCTAAGTCTTTAGTCCTTTCTGTTGCAGAGATATGCCTTTCCTTCAGCATAGCCACAGTGAGAGGGAACAGGGACGTACTTCTTTGGTTTAAATGAAAGCTGGTGGTGCAGAGGATCGCCTAGACATCTCCTTATAACCAGGGGTCATTTAATAGAAAAAGAGGGGCAGGAGCTCATTAGCATAACTCATTAGCATATGCCACAGCCCCTGACATCACCGGAAGTGTGTCAGAAGGCAACACCCACCGCTCAGGCTCCACTGGACTGTTTTGGATTGCTAGCTATGGGGGGGGGGGCGGCGCAGATCCTCATGCTCCTCA